CTCTGATGTGTAATAAGGGCTGACGGTGCACTGAAACTTTTCCCACACTCAAGGCATTTATGTGGTCCCTCTCCCGTGTGGATTCTCCCATGGCTAGTAAGATGTGAGCGCTGACTAAAACTTTTCCCACAGTACAAGCATGTATAGGGTTTCTCTCCCGTGTGGGTTCTCTGATGTACAATAAGGGCTGATGGTCTAATGAAACTTTTCCCACACTCAAGGCATTTATATGGTCCCTCTCCAGTGTGGATTCTCCCATGGGTAACAAGGCTTGAGCGTTGACTGAAGCTTTTCCCACAGTACAAGCATTTATAGGGTTTCTCTCCTGTGTGGGTCCTCTGATGTGCAATAAGGCCTGATGGTCCACTGAAACTTTTACCACAGTCTAAGCATTTATATGGTCCCTCTCCCATGTGGATTTTCCCATGGCTATTAAGATGTGAGCGCTGACTGAAACTTTTCCCACAATCCAAGCATTTATAGGGTCTCTCTCCTGTGTGGACTCTCCTATGGTTTATAAGTCTTGAGTGCAGACTGAAGCTTTTCCCACAGTCCAAGCAGTTATAGAGTTTCTCTCCTGTGTGGGTTCTCTGATGTACAATAAGGGCTGATGATACACTGAAACATTTCCCACAATCAAGGCATTTATAGGGTTTGTCTCCTGTGTGGATTCTCCTATGGCTAGTAAGGCCTGAGCACTGACTGAAGCTTTTCCCACACTCAAGGCATTTATACGGTTTCTCTCCCGTGTGCAGTCTCCGATGGGCAGTAAGATTTGAGCTCCAATTGAAGCTTTTTCCACATTCCAAGCATTTATAGGGTTCCTTTTCTTTGGGATTTGTCTGCTGGGTTGTGGTTTCTTTGGAATCCTTGTCTCCTCCCCCACATTCAAAGGATTCATGCACTTTCTTTCTTGGGTGGTTTCCCAGCTTCCTCTCTGACCTGTGCCAATTACTCCAGGCTTTTCTCTGATCCAAGCACTGGGAAAAGTTCTCTTCAACTCTTCTCAAAAAGGTCCCCTGCAGTTCCACTTGCTCAGGACCTTCCTGCTGTGGATTCCCCTCCTCGTTCTCACTCATTCTCCCATCATCTGCTGGGGGAGAGAAAGAATCAAGACAGGATTCATTGCCTGGGCTAGCAGAAAGGACAAAGTGAAAAGCAAAGAGAGAAAACACAATGCAGTAACTGTTGGAAGACTGAGAAATTGGATTCTGCCTCCACATCCCATCCAAACACTGACAGGGGCGTGAAGACAGGGAGAAAACTCCTGGCAGCTAACAGGGGTGCGTGGGAAGCCATGAGCGATATCTGCCACGATGATATGACACCTGCTGACCACAGCAGACCAGGGTGAGATGAGGCAGAACTGAGGAGGCTCAGACCACATTTGGGGGATTTTCTGCTTTTTCCTTCATTTGCCATATACCTCCTGTGTCAGTGTCACTGACTTCTCACCTGTGCATGTGCCTCTTGGGTTCTTACTTTCCTTGGAGTCCTGGAGATCCAGGACCCACGTCTCTTCCCCTCTTTCGAGCCGGGCAATCAGGGCAGGTTTGGGAACGGGGAGTCCTGCTGAGGGAGTGAAATCAGACATGGTCAGAGTGCAATGAGGATTGGGGCAGTATTTGTTGCAATGGACACATCTTGAGTTTAAACTGACCCCATGATTTGCTAGGGGGTTGTGGGATGTGAACAGATGGGCACGTGATCACTGATTCCCCTTGGGAGAGGCAGATGTCTGGGGAGGGGGGAGTTGTCACACCATCACCAGAAGTTTTCAGGATGTGTGCGCTCTGGGAGACTTCCTGAGGCACACACAGTTCTGGTGTTAAACCCCTGCCTGTGTCTAAACCTCCAGAGTCCAGATCCCTCCCCACAGTAAGAGCTAGTCCCAGGAAGGGAGGTGCACAGAGATTCTGAGTGTGAGTGAGAATTAATGCAGAGAGGATGATACACTGCTTCTGCCTCCATGAGAGCTGGAGATGAATTGTCATGTCCATTAGGTTCATGACTCCCCTATCCCATTGGAGGCAGTATGGACGTGAACGGCTCTCACATACTGGAGCTGTGGACTATGTGACCCATTCCCCTCTAATCTAACTGACCAGGGAAGAACCTGACCAGATTCAGAAATACAGGTCCCATGGCTTCAAATAGCTGAGGGTCTGAGGAGATACAAATCCTTACCCAGCGAGATCACAGTTTCATAATTCTCCTGCATGACGTCTCTGTAGAGGGCTCTCTGACTGGGGTCCAGCAGAGCCCCCTGCCCCTCGGTGAAATACACAGCCACCTCTTCGAAGGTCACCGGCATCTGAAACAACAGGTGCTCCCCACTCAGTTCCTGCTGCCCCAGCCACAACCCCACTATTCATGGGGGAAGAACCACAAAAATAGGACAGCTCTGGGAGGGCCAGAGGAGCAGAATCCCACCCCCACCCTTCTCAGAGTGGCCAGGAGGTTCCAGGGAACAGAGAGAAGGGGAGAGTCCCTTGTCCCTCCCAGCAGATGGAGGAGGGCAGGGTCTTCCCATTTACCACCCACCTACTAGGCATAGGCTGATGTGCGAAGCAGAGATCAGTGCAGGGAACAGGGACAGGAATCCCAGCACCTTCCCTTTCTATTTCACCCCGTCTGTGCCTAGTGGGTTCAGGCTCCAGCACTCTGGTCTCTTTTCCCAGCCCCGTCCAGGGGTTTGTTTCCTTTTTCAGAAATGGGAGAATATTCACACACACACACCCCTGCCCATGGGCCTATTCATAAATCAAGCCCTACGCTGAGCATGTCCCAGCAGGTTTATCACACCGTCACCTCCCTGCCTCACCCTTTCCTGCCCCTTCCCCTCCACAACAACCCTCCCCAGCAGCTGTCCCCAAAAATCCCCTATCTGAGCTGGATCCACCACAGCCATTTCCCTTCCCTGTCCCCTAGGACGATGGGATGATCTGCAGCAAAACTTGGTGAATATTCTGCAGCCTGTCAGGGTGAGAAGGGAAATTGGGGAGGTTTGTGAATTAGCGTTAGTCCGTTTCACACCCCGATTCCCTCCAGGCCTTTCCCTGCAGACAGACACTCTAGACCAGGGATCGGCAACGTTTGGCACGCGGCTCGCCAGAGTAAGCACCCTGGCGGGCCGGGCCAGTTTATTTACCTGCTGATGCGGCAGGTTCGGCCGATCGCGGCCCCCACTGGCCGCAGTTTGCCGTCCTGGGCCAATGGGGGCGGCGGGAAGCCGCAGCCAGCACATCCCT